TGCCTGCTACATTTCCATATATTCAGGATGTTTAGGGTGTTCATTTCTGTGCCCCTTTCTTCTTTATTTGAAATTACCAATTACTTGACTTTGGTACCTCCTTCAAGAAATAGGGGAGGAATCAACCCAAGCAAAAAAAGTGATTTTATATTTTTCCTTCAGTGTTTTTTGGGATCTCAATATATTTGATTTTATATACTTACAAATGATTTTAATACTGACTATTCCCTGCAAAATTATTTCCATACCTCAAAGATATTCTTTCAAACGTAATATTCCTTGTACTATAGTGAGCTAAATTTCATAAAAACCTGCCTTTACAGTCTTCAGTAATATATTTCCTCAATTTGTCCATGTTCTTTAGTTTTGTCCATTCCCTTGCAGTTTTTCACATTGTTGTCTGGATAAGTTCTAATGAACCGCTCTTTGAATCTTAAAATTGGCCATTCTAAGAAAAAAAATCCTAGTCTTTTGATTTAGTTTATGAAACAGTCATGGAGCACAGCTTTTCCTCTACCCTGTTAGGGTCGGTAATTGAGGACCAGCAAATTTATCTGACAAAGGATAGATTAATAGGAGAATAAAAAAAAAATCTATATAATTTTAATAGTATTTTACTTGCACAGAGTTCATAAAAAGGAAGGGAAAGCAGACAATGGAATGTATATAACATTGTAGCAAAGGAAAGGAAGCTTGGTCTTCAAGGCAGGGATACTTTTAGGGAAAATGAATAAGAAATATATGGGCAAAACTAAAGGAAGATAAATGCTTCTTTAGGAAGATTTATTCTTCCAGACTCCTCTCAGTACCACCTCTTTACTTGAAGTAATACAGGTTGCTCTCCTGTTCCAGGCATAGGAGCAGGGAACACCTTTACAAGAAACATTAATGCAATCGTTACAGAGTGGAACTTATGACCTAATTTTAGTTAGGTAAGGAGAAAACAGAATGCTTCCTGCATCTGTTGATTTTCAATTTCTTTCAGCTCAAAATAATACTTGTGACATTATGGCATATTTTGGGGTGACATTCTGATCCTCTTCAAAATCCATATTTGTCATTAATATTATCATTTCAGTTTTTCATCTAGTTTTATAAAATATTGGCAAGTGGCAATAATATATTCAAGTAATTCTCCCAAACACTGATAATTTTGCCAAAATGACAATAAATGTTTCATAAACTAATCTGCTGACCAACTCAACCATGAAAATTCAAGAAATTGTCTATGTATAATAGAAGAATAAATAACAGATGTTACAGGCTACTTGCAATGCATTACTCCAAACTTTCTTGCATAGTGATTTCATGGCTGAAAAAGTAAATTTCCTATTACTCCCAATGGGTAAAGCTCTAGGTTTTTGAGCTATGTGCCCTGAGGAAATGTAGAAAGTGGGTTTGTTTGTGGTTGAAATCTGAACATGGCCATGAAAGGACTAGATCCTTAGAGGACTTAAGGGAACAGTTATTAAGGAAGCAGTGCCAAGGTCCTGGGAACTGGCTTTTGTAGTGCACTCACAGCATGCCAAGCACTTTGCTGCTTACCTTTGTTTGCAGAAATGCCCTTGTCTCAGCACTTTGAGGTAGGTACCATTATTCTCCCATTTTAGAGATGAAGAATGGAGACTTGGTAAATTTAAGGATTAAAACTAGTTAGTTATCTGTGAGTCAGTATAACTTCTACATACTAGCAATATTCCTCAGAAATATAATCCACATAGAACTAAAAATTTTCTAATGCCACATTAAAGTGAAAAACAAATGAAAACTAATAAAATAATATTTCAATAAGTAATTGAAAATATTCAGTTAAATATTTTTGGTGCTAGGTCATTGAAATTTGGGGGCAAATTTGTTGATAAAAAGATATTAAGAGTATGGGTTTGGTGTGAGACATGCTGGAAGTTATTTCTGCTAGAAATGTTAATTTGGCCAATTTAGCTAAATCTCTTAGGTTTAAATTCCTTTTCTATAAAATGGGAGACATGGAATATTGCCTGGGAATGCTATAGTAAGAATCGTGCATAATTCAGGCCAATAGCTCCACATATTACTAAACCCATGAAAAAACAGACTGACTCTAGTGAATCCATTGTTTTATTGTCACTTTCTTCCATGAGTACCTCTTTAAAGTAAGATGATATTCAGTACTGAATGGATTTATAAAACCTTGTAAAGTTGAACCAGAGCACTTTAGTACTAAAAGTTTTCGATTTGCTTAAAGTCAGCATTACATCCTGCAAGGATAAGTTGTCTCTTGGTAACTGAGAATGGCACTACCATTCAAATATCAGACTAAGCCAGGGCTCCATCTCAGATGCCTGAGAGTCATGCCACACCAAAGTATTCCAATCCAGAATACTTCTACAGGTGTATATTAGCATAATGAAGATGCCAAGGAAGGCCAGGTAGGATTTGAAACAACCAGTGCAGACATTCACCCTGAATCCAAAAACACTCAAAAAGGCCTTGAGTTGGGCTCTAGGAATGTACTCATTTTGCTCTTGTTTAGTTGCACAGTGGTGTAAATGTTTTGGTTTTTTTTTTCAATCATAACTGGTTAAGACCTCGTTTGCATTAAAGCTTCCCTTCAATTACAATCTGCATTTGTCTGATTGTGTTGGAATACTGATGAGTGTGATCTGCTGTCACTCACTCACATGTAGTTCAATGGTTGCTAGTCAATCCTAAGATTCCTGTGTAAACCATTTCCTATGGCTGTAAGGAAAATACCTACACCTTACTGTGAGCACTGACTAAATGTCATCTTGTGACTTTCCAGTGTTTATAGTAACCAGCACTGAAAGTTACAGAGTAAATTAAGATTTGATAAAGAGCCAGAAACAAGTCTGAAGTCTTTCAAAGTTGTTCAACTCACATACCCACCCCCCAAAAGTAAATCAATTTTAAAAGCAGCCTTAAAACCTTACACAATATTACCACGGTTTTGAAACTGTTTGACAATTTCTTAAGATTTAAAGTAAAAAATTGCAACGACCTTATCCAAAGGAATAAAAGCTACCAAGATGGTTAACCTCAAATTCTTGGTAAAGGACCAGTGCAAATCCATAAATACCTCGTAGTCTTGCTTGCCAAACAAGGTTGGTTTGAGAAGTATAGGAACTTGTTCTGTAAAACCAAGGAAAATTTCCAGGAGGAAGCGTTTACCTACCTACATACAGAATACAGACCATTACGTATGTTGCAACCACTTTTAAAGTGAATTTTTAGGTGGCTCTTAAAAGAGCCTTTGTTAAGAGAATGGATTTACGCTCTCTCGCCTCGGATGCGGCGGGCCAGCTGGATGTCCTTGGGCATGATAGTGACGCGCTTGGCGTGGATGGCGCACAGGTTGGTGTCCTCGAACAGCCCCACCAGGTAGGCCTCGCTGGCCTCCTGCAGCGCCATGACGGCCGAGCTCTGGAAGCGCAGGTCGGTTTTGAAGTCCTGCGCGATCTCGCGCACCAGGCGCTGGAACGGCAGCTTGCGGATCAGCAGCTCGGTGGACTTCTGGTAGCGGCGGATCTCGCGCAGCGCCACGGTGCCGGGCCGGTAGCGGTGAGGCTTCTTGACGCCGCCGGTGGCCGGGGCGCTCTTGCGAGCGGCTTTGGTGGCCAGCTGCTTGCGCGGCGCTTTGCCGCCGGTGGACTTACGCGCTGTCTGCTTGGTACGAGCCATCTGGGAGACTACACGTCAGAAAGTGTAACAAAACTACTTGAAATTGTCCTTAAATATAGTTGAAATCATTCTGATTGGCCTTTGAACTTTTAAATAGTCCCGCGCAATATAATCATTGGTTGGAGAGTGACCTAGGTGATTGGTTAACTAGAAGAGAATCTGATTGGATAAATTGTTCCCCTGTCTGACTTTTCTTTTGGTCTCAATGATCTGTGGACATAAAGGTTCAGAAGCCATAAGTCAACAAGCCTCTAAATACTATTTGTATAATGAATAATTTAAACATCATGTTAAGCTGAATCAGTCTCACTGGGAACCGAGATTAATTAATTTGTATTCGCAGGTTACCGTTGCTAATGCATAACAACAAGTGTTCCAATTTCGGTTTGGCAACGAAAATTTGGCTTAAGTGGATTTAGGGAAAATTCGTGCTGCTTTAGCTAGGAGCAAACTTTCTTATCCTTTTTTTCTGAGTCTAAGTGATATTCCCGCCTGCCTTTTAAGGAACATTGTTGTTTTGTAATAAGATTTCTTGTACATATCCTGTTTTCCTGGAACTTTGTTTTTAAGCATTACTGTTTTAGGAATATACATTAGTTGCTAAGACATTACGATGGGATTAAGAACATTTGTGGCATAACCCTAGTAATCAGACCTCCTTGTTGACACAGATCGCTCTGGATAGAACTTGGAGAAAATGAATTTAGTTCTCTAGTGTGCTGTGGATTGCAGTTTCCCTCAGATTTGTGGCTCTCAGTCTTCTTGGACAGCAGCACTGCGTGAATGTTGGCCCAAACGAAGCTCAGTGTGATGGTGACTTTGCACTGCAGCGTGTTGAACTCCTTGTCACTAGGAAAGGTAGGTGGCGCGTCGTCCACCAGCTCCAGGATCTTGGCAGTTTCTGAATAGCACAGCTAGGTAGACCCACGTTCTGGCCCAACACTCTCCGCGTATTTTCCTTTGCGAAGCGGGCGGTGGACTCGGCCAATGGGGAACTGCAGTTTAGCGCGGATTAGCGCGTCTGGGGCTAGGCACCAGTTTTACCTTTCGCCACATCCAGATACAGCAATGTGTAAAAAAAAAAAAAAAAAGAGGAAATTCCTGCATAAAGGAAGCAGAAGCATTGCAGCGTGAAAAAAATCAATGGACTGTGGGGGGCTGTGAAAATGAGCCATCCTATTGGTCAAAATATGTTGTATTTCTATCCAATAGAAAGAGAGAATGTTATTTGCATAACTCCGCCCCATGCTTTCAGGATCCAATCAGAAGTGGAAACTTTTAAACCCTCATTTGAATTACAGCGCTATAAACACACCCGCTCAAGCCTGTTCCTCTTGCTTACTTTGTTGTGGAAAGTAGAAATATCACTTAGACAATTGTTAAGGACGGCTATGCCTGAGCCCTCAAAGTCGGCTCCCGCCCCGAAGAAGGGCTCCAAGAAAGCCATTACTAAGGCACAGAAGAAGGACGGCAGGAAGCGCAAGCGCAGCCGCAAGGAGAGCTACTCCATCTATGTGTACAAGGTGCTCAAGCAGGTGCACCCCGACACCGGCATCTCGTCCAAGGCCATGGGCATCATGAACTCCTTTGTCAACGACATCTTCGAGCGCATCGCGGGCGAGGCCTCGCGCCTGGCGCACTACAACAAGCGCTCGACCATCACGTCCCGGGAGATCCAGACGGCGGTGCGCCTGCTGCTGCCCGGGGAGCTGGCCAAGCACGCCGTGTCCGAGGGCACCAAGGCTGTCACCAAATACACTAGTTCCAAGTGAGTCCCTGTGCAGGCCCCTTGTCATCAAACGGCTCTTTTCAGAGCCACCCACTTTGTTGAAAGAAAGTTCTGCCACTTTCTAACAGAAATGAGGAAAACTTAGAAGTTGGTGGTGACCAGTTTATAGCTGAGGTTTCCCTCGGTCTGTCGCTCCCAATAAAGCACATCGTTATTGTAATTACCGCTAGTTGTCGCTGCATAAGCCTTAGGCTGCTTTTCCAACTATTTCTCTCTGACCCAACTCATTTCTGAAGGATATAGTAATTTTCCTACTGGACCGTGAAGCGGGTAAGGGATTGGGAAGTACGGAATTACTGGGGATCCTTAGGTGGAGGCGCTGGGGGTCGCGCAGGCGGGAGGCAGAAGTTAATTCCTGAAGCTGGAACTGCTCCTGCAAGTTTTGTGGTAGACACTGGGGCAACAAGAAGCGAGATTCGTGGTCTTTCTGGGACCTCAATGGAGCATACCTTCAGTTCTGCACCATGAAAGTGATTTTTAGTTTCGTGATTATTGACAACAACTAGAACTCACGTAAATTCGGACCCGCAGGTGCCGTCTCAAACTTCCGGTTCCGGCTTTTGCCTAGAAAAGGGCGTGGATGTTTTCTGGAGCTCAGAGGAACAAAGGGTTTGAATTTCGCGCCCTTATCTGGCGCTCCTTGGTAATAGGCTGGGAGGGCCCATTTTGAACACAGTGGTTTTCCCCAGGCCTTTTCCGAAGAATCCAGGACTCCCAAAGTAATGACTAGAAACTCTGGGAGGGTGCTGGTCGAGAGGAGTTCAGAGGAGCCTGCCTGGGTCCGAGGTCGGGGTTTGGGGAAGAGCGGAGCCCGGGGAGTGGGCTTCTACCTTACGAGTGAATATGGGAAAAAAAAATATTTCCCAGCGACATGTGAGATTCAGTAACGTTTTCATATGAAAGAAAATTTAAGGGAGAGTTTTTCAAATAGGAACCCCCTTTAAAGAAGATTTTAAAATGCCTGGATCCCACACATGATGTCAGTGGACCACTGTAGGAAAAGCACTTTGTATCAGCATGTGCAAAATTCTCTTGTAAAAGAGATACTTGTCTTAAAAATCAAATTTTTTTTTTGCATTTTAGACTGTAAATCGGCCCATCCTTCCCCTCAAAACATTAACCACTCAGCCTGCAGTTTAAGGAACACCTGGGAGAGATCTGTTAACATTCATACTAGTTTTCAGTGATCTCTCAAGTAGAAGGAGGTAGGATTTTCTCCCCAGCTTTTCTTTGTACCTTGGTTTCGCCTGCCTTTTTTCATCCTTCCTTTTCTCTTATTTTCCTTTCCTTATTTTTTTTTCTTTCAAATAGAAAATCAAGGATTCTCGGTTTTTTTGTTTTTTAAAACCTAAACACTGTAACTTTCTTTGATAATCCCAAGCCAAAATTCAGTCCTCTTACACTCAAAGGTAGGCATTTTCACTATTGGTGCTGACACTTAGTCTTTTACAAAGGCTTGGGGGCCTTTCCCCCCCTACTTTCTCTCTCTCTCTCATCAGATGTTTGGGCTCTGGGGATAGTAGGGAGAAGCCATACATGATCATAAATCTTCCTTGTTGATTCTGTTAAAGCTTCATCTTTGGACATGGCAGAGCCAGGGAACAAGCCCACAAACTTAGGTGAAACCAGGTTTTATCTAACCCCTTCCATAATAAATTCTCACATTTTCTCAAGAGTTGCGTATTTCAGGTACAGAATAAATGAAAGGGAAAAAAAAGAAAAGAAAACTACTACAATCCAAATCTCCTTCTTAGTAATAGAAAGATTTGCCTCTTTAACCAACAAAGATGCCTGAACACAGGAAAAGGAGGAGCGAGGTGGTGGGAGAGTTTCAATTTGAGGAAAGGTTGATAGATTTTGGAAAAAGGACGGCCCCACAGTGACACAGATAACAGAAGGTCCAGGTCCAGAGAGTGCTCATGATTTGAGAGCAGCACTGGGTGAATGTGGGCCTAGGGGGAGGGAGCAGGTCACTGGAGAGCACCTTGGAAGGGCATATCTTTTTTTTTTTTTGATGTTGATGGACGTTTATTTTATCTATTTATTTATAAGTGGCGCTGAGACTCCAACCCAGACCCTCATACATGCTAGGCAAGTGCTCTACCACAGAGCCATTACCCCAGCCCCGCTGGGAAGGGCATGTCTTGTCCTGGGCTTCTCCCTCTTGGCTTCCTGGTGGCCCTGAGGTGAGCAGTGTTGCTCCACCACATTCTCCCTTTCGTGATGTTCTCTTCATCACCAGCCCATAGTAATGGTGGGAAATGAATGTGGATTGAAGTCTGTGAAGCTGGAGCCAAAATAAACCTTTCCTCCTTTACGCACATTTTCTTTCAGGTATTTTGTCACAGTTATGGAAACTATACTGTCACAATAGCAAACCTGCCTTTCCTCCACCTTTCAATGTCTTGTTGTGCTTGTCTTATAGATAATGTTTAGGAATTGATTTTTTCCTTTCTTTTTCTTTTTTTAAATTTTTATTTTTAGTTTGGGTACTGGGTATCCAACCCAGAGTCTCCCACTATTAGGCCATGCTCATCTACGGAGCTACATTCACAAACTTATTTTATTTTTTATTTCAAGACAAGCCTTCCCTAAATTGTTCAGGGTGACCTAGATCATGATATCCTCCTACTTCACCTTCCCAGGTATCTGGGATTACAGGTGTGCACCAGTATGGCCAGCCAAGGATATTTAACTATTTAGTAAGAAATGGAAAGAAAGTGGTCTACTTTGCCTGAATTCAGAATTAAATGTCTTTACGCTTTTGAAATAATTTTTATGTATTATTTCTATGTCATGATATGGGAGAGTATATTTCCAACTTCTATTTTCAAGTTAATTTCCAAATTATCACCACCTGTAGTCTCTGTTTCCTTGTGTTGAGCTAGATTTACTGCCACAAGAGTGACATTTGCACAGTGGCTGGATGACTTGTGCCTTCTGGATTGTCTCAAAGCAGCCCTTAATTGACTGAAGGAGTTTGAAACTTATCACCTCAAAATATGTTAACCTGGAAAATTGAGTTAAACGCTCTTGAAGACAGCACAATTTTATCTCATGTTAAACTCCCATGTGCAAAGTTTCTTACCTGTACCTAGAAAAAGGAGATATTCCTATCCTCTGATGGTATCAGGGAGTCAATGTGGGAAATACTCTGTAAAAACCAACCTTGCTAAACTAGCCCTCATCTTCCTGTGAGTTCTGCCCTAGTCTAAGTTGCTTGGTCTTGTCATGTTTTCACAGTTTACTACTCTGTCCAACTTATGTGTGCAGGTCAAAGTGTTCTTAAGGCTTCTATGCCATGTATAAAAAAATTAAATAAATTGATATGCTTTTATCTTGTCTATCTATTATGATAGGACAAAACCAACAACCAAGAATCAGTAGAGGAAAAAATTTTCCTACTGTGTAATAACCTCAAGGAAGGAATTTTTTTCCCCAAGGATGTAAAGTCACATATTTTCATTGCTTGTATTAAACAAAATATATATATTTATTTCATTGTTTATGCCAACCATGGGACAAGAGTTGTCTTGCTTTCACTGCTAATGGGGTTGGAGTTATTATTGCTACTTTTTCTGTCCTATTTGAATGGAACAGGTGACACCCAATATCTCTCTAAATCCTAAATCACACATTTTTTTTTTCCCAAAGGTATTTAGAATTTACTGACATTGTAAATCTTGATGACAGTATTTCATCAAGTTATTTCCTGAATACCAGATGCCAAGTGCTTGTTGCTTTATCTGACTCAAGATGACGTGCATCAGTGGAAGATTTCGTTTGTTTGTTTCATCTGTGACTGCATCAATATAGAATCCTGATGCTATGGCTGCATGTACTCCACTCCTTCTTCTAGTCTGGGTTTTTGAATCAGCTCTTAATGTTGGCTTCTATTTTTATGTAACCCTATACATTTCCATTGCTCCAGCTAAAAGCCTATTTGTTCAGGAAATTAAACAAGCATAACTTCTGACCATTGGCTTCTGACATCCCTCTGTTTTTCAATACACCTGACATTATACTGAAGTATTTAATTAGCCCACCATACTGACTTCTTCACCCATAAGATCTCAACTCAAATGTCTCCTTTTGCTGATGGTGGCTCTCCCCACCTTGTTCATGCCAACTTCTTTCCTTCCAATATTTTTCTCCACAGCACTCATTACAAAAAACTCTACATTGTACCATGTACACCTTTTATCTTTTTGTGAGCTTTCTGAACAAGAAAATTAGTACCCAGAGGGCCCAGATTGCTCTCAGCTTTGTCCACCATGTTTCAGGCACCTAGAACGGTCACTGGCATTTAGCAGGTCCTATTAGATGTATGTGGAATAAATGCTGAACACATGCCTCTTTCATAAACTTTATTGATTTTTATAATTTACGGTGATCAGTCTTCTCCTTCTTGTATTCTTAAATGTCCCTCAAATCTTCATTTTGTATGCAAATGATACACTGCTTATTGATCTTCATATATATATATATATATATATATATATATATATATATATATATATCTCTGTGTGTGTGTGTGTGTGTCCTCACTTCTCAAAAGACTGTCAACCTTTTAGGAAAATGTCTTAAATATATATTTGGTGGTGTTGAAAGTGAAGACAGTCATTAAAAATAATAGAACTCTGACTATAATTGAAAGTCATATATCAGAAGATTTGAGAGAAGACAAACTGCTAAGAGAAAATGAGCACCTTTACTCTCCTGCCAGTTTCCCTGGATCAAAAATCATTGTTCAGTTACAAATGTGACTTAAGAATAGATCAGAATTTATTTTTCTGTACTTTCCTTCCCCCCTTCTAGGTATTGGGTAATCAACCTGGGTGTACTCTACCTTTGAACTAAAACCTAACCCTTATTTTTTTTTTTTTTTGAGATAGGGTCTCTCTAAATTGCCCAGACTGGTCATGAACCTGCCATCTCTTGTCTCCCAAGGATTATGTGTTCATGGAAGTTAGTTTCTCTCTCTCTTCTTTTCTTTCTCTCTTTTTTTTTTTTTTTTTTAAATTGGTGCTGGGGATGGAACCCAGGGGTTCACACATGATGCTAGGAAATTCTCTAACACTAAGCAACATCCCCAGGCTGCAGATTTCTCACACCCAAGTCCTTGTTCATATGTTCTTCTTTGAGTATGAGTAGATCTTTGGATCTGAGCCTTCAGAAGTAATGATCCCCCTCCAACTGGGTGCCATCTGTTCCTGTCTAATGTGACATAAAATGGAAAACAGTACTTTATCTCCTAGCTATCTCTTTTTGATTTTTATGTTCCTTGACATGAGAGCTTACTAACAATTAATGAATCGTAGTCATATTTATAATAGTGTTTCATTTTATATAATCTCACTTGAGTATTTCTGTGCTAGATAGTGTGTATTTTCTCATTTCTTAGAACAACCTAGAGACTCCTCATATTTATTTATGAGCTTCAACGTTATGAAAGGATTCAGGAAATAATATCCTTAAGCATTCCACTTGCGCAAGTTGATTATGGCCAACTGAGGGCACTTGTTGAAGAGCAAACCCAGTTTTTCCATGGAATCACTTTACCTGCCTAAAGAGGATGTCATAAATTTCCTTTAGGAATCTTATCAAACAGGGAAGATGACATATATCATAGAAGAGACTGGAGGTCAATACAGTGCCAAGCAGACTATCTTGTATCCTGAGGACCCCTATCTCTTTCTTCAAAATCAGATTCCCCCAGGTACCATGCCCCCTTGAAGAGTATAGCAGCTTCTAGAGCTCACTGGGCTTTTGAGTATTCATTTTCTTTCTTGTATAATCCACATACCCTTTTCTCCTGTTAATATGCTCTTGTCTATTTATTTCACAGACTGATTGTCAAACCCTCAGAGTGGTGGGAAAGTATTCCCTCTCAACTAAAATTTTAGTTGGTAAATTATCAACTTTATAAATTCAAGGGGGTAGAGATTGGTGGAGAGGTTTCAGAAATAAGCAGAATTCTGTTTGTAATCAAAGGAGAAAATTTCAAGGGCAGGAAGGTTAGGAATGGTAGTGGAGAATCACGCAAAAGTTTTTTTTTTTTTTTTTTTTTTTTCCAGTCTGGAGGTGATAGTCAGTATTACCCTGGGCAAGGGAAATAAATAAAAATCTATCAGTTCTCCAGCATCCAGAATGCAGTCCTTGCCCTATTTTCGTTGTTCAAGTCGTGAAATTAGAGGTGGGCTGTGATGAAGAATCATTTGTTCCCTTCCTCCCTCTTTCCGTTGTGAAGTTAAGAAGTACATTTTCATGGCCTTCTGGGAAAGATTCTGAACCCATTCCTTTGGAAAATTATAAATCTCAATTCCGGAAAGGAACGAGTGGCCCAAAGTCAACAATGAGCGGAAAGACTCCAGCCCACAGTTGGTTTAAAAAAAAGAAAAAAAAATTGAATTGATGCAATTATTATTGGTTTTGAAGTAAGGCTCATCATGTACGATTGGTGATTGGATAAAACACAAACCTTACAGTAGATGGAAGAGCTGTATGCAAATGAAGGATTCAAATTCTGTTTGCCCATTGGGTATTTCCCATTAGCCAATAGGAGAGCTCCGCACAGCCTACCTCCAATCAGTATAAATATGTCTCATTTCCAGGCCTTCATGGCATTTTACCTACGTTTTCTGTAGAACCTTTTTGTCTTCTTAAACCAAACTAAAATGTCTGGACGCGGTAAGCAGGGCGGCAAAGCTCGGGCCAAGGCCAAGACTCGCTCCTCTCGGGCCGGTCTCCAGTTCCCGGTGGGACGTGTGCATCGGCTGTTGCGCAAAGGCAACTACTCGGAGCGGGTCGGGGCCGGCGCTCCCGTCTACCTGGCCGCTGTGCTCGAGTACCTGACGGCCGAGATCCTGGAGCTGGCTGGCAACGCGGCCCGCGACAACAAGAAGACGCGCATCATCCCCCGCCACCTGCAGCTGGCCATCCGCAACGACGAGGAGCTCAACAAGCTGCTGGGCCGAGTGACCATCGCTCAGGGTGGTGTCCTGCCCAACATCCAGGCGGTGCTACTGCCCAAGAAGACCGAGAGCCACCACAAGGCCAAGGGAAAATAAGGCGTTGATAACTACTGGCATCTTTCAGTTTTCCATGAGCCGGAAAAATTATCAAGGTTATAAACAAAAGGCTCTTTTAAGAGCCACCCACTATTTCTGTGAAATGAGCTGTTGTGCTTAGAGTTAAGCCTTAAAAAGAAGACTGGTTGCCCCTAATAGTTATAGTTACTCAATAATTATCACAGGTGGGGAGAAAGGCTACACAGCAAAACGTAGTGCTGCGGGATTACTGACCTTTTGCAGAAACGAAAGTTGTTGAATACTGTGGGGAGAAGGAAACGATGAATCCCTCCTATTTCACATAAGCCGCTGTATATGGCAAGTTGAATAGCTAACCAAGTGAGACCTCAACAAATGGGAATGTTGCTCTACATAAAACACCCCACGGGTCAATCCTGAGTACAAAAACAGTTGGATATAGCTCAGTGCACACTTCCCTAACATGCTCAAGGTACTGGGTTCTATCAGTGTAAATCAAAACCCAAATAGAGCAATGAAGAGCAAAATGAACTTAGCGAGCAATTCATCCTACAAAGCCATAATTTTTACAATGTCCACCCTACTAGTGCCATGCCCAGGTAAAATTTCATTTCAAATGAAACCCACCCACCAAGTTTCCCTAAATGGCTTCCAAGATATTTTAATAGGGTTTTTTTTTTTTTTTTTTTTTTTTTTTCCAGCATCTATTGGGTATTCCCGTGTAGATCTGTGTGGTTGTCTCTTCAGACATTGTGGTGTAATACTTTCGTTTACAACCGACACAGACTCAAAAAAGAAAAAGAAAAGAATGTGAAAATAGCTACCGGAAAGAGCAGGGTGTCGGATTTGTGCATCAGCCTGTAGGCAGCTCTTTATCCGGAGACCTCAGCAAGGAGATGAACCAATCCAGGAAAAGCGCGGGTACTTTTGAATTTCTTGGGCCCAATAGTCAGTAATCTGATTGTATAAAAGGAAGGGTGGCTTTTAACACTCACAGTAGTCTGTGAAGACGTTCCTTCGGCTTTCCGCATGGCTCGTACCAAGCAGACAGCGCGTAAGTCTACCGGCGGCAAAGCGCCGCGCAAGCAGCTGGCCACCAAGGCCGCCCGCAAGAGCGCCCCGGCCACCGGCGGCGTCAAGAAGCCTCACCGCTACCGGCCCGGCACCGTGGCGCTGCGCGAGATCCGCCGCTACCAGAAGTCCACCGAGCTGCTGATCCGCAAGCTGCCGTTCCAGCGCCTGGTGCGCGAGATCGCGCAGGACTTCAAGACCGACCTGCGCTTCCAGAGCTCGGCCGTCATGGCGCTGCAGGAGGCCAGCGAGGCCTACCTGGTGGGTCTGTTCGAGGACACCAACCTGTGCGCCATCCACGCCAAGCGCGTCACCATCATGCCCAAGGACATCCAGCTGGCGCGCCGCATCCGGGGAGAGAGGGCATAAAAGCAACCCAATTTCGGCCTAGTGTAAATGACCCAAAGGCTCTTTTCAGAGCCACCTAAGTGTTACACGGAAAGCAGCTGTGAACACTTAAGAACGGCAGTTAACTGTATCTAACTTGGCTATTAACCATAATCCCTTTATCCCCCATATTTCCATATGGGGAAAAAATGGCTTCTGCTTTCAGTCTTAATTTACTTGACATCTTCTGCAGTGCTACATAGTCTTCAGCGAAAAACTTTAGCATAATTTTCGAATTTGCGCTTGTCAATCTCATAGTTGGAAGACTTGATGCCAGCCTCTTGCACATGCATTTGGTTGGGGCTTGCTCCCAACTTATGATGTCATCTAAGACCAATTAGTTTCCTAATTATCATAAATGGAGGTAACCTGATAATCATTCTGATACGAGCATTTTCAGGCATATAGCAATTTCCCCAAGTTGTGAATTGGTTTCCATTATGCCTTTTGATTTTTAAAGATTTGAAATAATCCAAGCTTTAGCTTGCTTAAATCCTTTTCTATTTGGCATTACTAAATTGCATTGATCTCAGCTTAGAAATAAAATTAGAGCACATATTTACAAATTAAATAATGGAAGAAGTTCATATGCAAGGGAAAAAATTACTGAACAACTGAACATTTTAATAAAGACTAGTGCCACCATTTAATATTTGGTTAAGCACTTACTGCTATGTATTAGGGAAATGATCTGGGAGGGCTGGAGAGCAAATGGGGGTTTTTAGTTTTGGCAGAAATGGCATTTATTTCCCCATGGACTGGCTACTTTTGCATAATGACTATTTTGAGCCCAAGGTCTTTAAAAGTAGAAGATGAAGAAGGGCATTCTAATTTCCCCTCTGTTTCCTAAAACCAAAATTATTTCATTGTGAAAAATGCTGATGCTGTGCCTGTACCAAGAGAAAAGAAATATTCTTCAGTAAGGAGTCATAGCTGAGATGATTCCATATAAACAGATATAATTAAAATAATTCCCACTTTCCATAAGCCGCATCACATTGTTCAGACACTATTACATCTCTCTTCAACTTAGAGGCTAACCTGTCTCATAAAACTTATATGAAATACATTTGTGTGCTTTTGTCTTGATAAATTGTTTCATGCCAAAATTTCAGGTTCAGCTGGAAAACCTCAATGGGGATCCTGTCCAGTCTTTTCTCCCTCTAACTGTACAGAGAATACACATTAGGTGTTTGTTCTTTCAAGGTCTTCAGCTAAACATGGTTTTTCTTCTCCAAGCACCAAAGAGTGATGTTACACCAAAGTTCACAGTAAATGCTGTTGGTATCTGTTTTGATTAGGGAGGCTTTTTTTTTTTTAATGTTTATTCTTAAGTTTTAGCTGGACACAGTATCTTTATTTTACATTTATGTGGTGTTGAGGATCCAACCCAGTGCCTAGTGTATGCTAGGTAAGTGCTCTACCACTGAACCACAACCTCAGCCCGATTTGGGATTCTTTTGTGAAAGGTCCAGGATCCTCAAGAAGAAAAAGAAGTTCAGGCTGTATTGGTCAGATGAAAATTCAGAAGCAGGCCTTTCAGTTTCTACAATGAAAGTGTCTAACTTATTCTGCTTAATGCACATTTTAAGGGAAAATTAACACAATTGGGAGAAGCCTATGGTGATCTGGAGATTTGAATTGCATTCCAGACTCAGTTGTGGGAAAGTCCAAAGGGTATGATTCTTACTACACCTAGACCCCCCCCCCCCAAATATATATATATATATATTTTTTTTTTCATACACACATATATGTAATTTTTAAAAAACAAGAATTTGCAATATCTTTTATTACACGCTGTGATTTTTTAAAAAAAATCTTCATTAATACATAAATGTCTGCTGTGATATTGTACTGGTAGTAAGACACTGAAATTGAGGAGCATAAGTCAATATCACAATTCAAGCACATTTTCAAAGTAAAACATGCTAGAATTAACCACATTTATGCAGCATTTCTTTGGAACAGTCTCTGTTCTAACATTTTACTCATGTTTGCTAATTCAAATTCTCACAAAATTTCCATGAACGGTTATCTTTACTTGTTTTACAAATGAAGGAGGGGGAGCAAAATTACAGGGCCACATACAAACATTCCCTATTAATGAAAAAGAATGTCTTGAAAGGGTCGCAAAACTGTATATCTTAGGATCCTGGTTCAACCAGCATAGTGGAAATTTACATAATTAACAGGAGACTTATTTAAAAATTTATTTGACACAAGTTTCATGTGGTATAAGAACCCTTACAAGGAGATGATGACAAAAAGCAGTTAGTCAATTACTTATATACTGAATGTTAGAAAGCAAAGGTGTTTGAGGTATGGCATTATATTGGGCAGAGAAAAGACAAAGAGTTACAACAGGATTTATTTGTACAGAATATCCTTAGCCTTAGTTCCTATCCGTGATAGGAATGGTAGTTTCTTTATTTTTAATATCTTTATTTATTTTTATGTGGTGGTGAGGTTCGAATCCTTTGCCCCACATGTGTGAGGCAAGCGCTCTCTGCCACTGAGCCACAACCCCAGCCCAAGAATGGTGCTTTTTGTTAAATTTTAGGGAGGACATCTTTCATGGGATTTCAACTTCCGCATTTTTGAAACAAAATAAAGATCAGGATGATTTTCTTTAGCTTTTTTAAAAAGAACTTTTATCTAAATTATCAATATGATATTTTTAGGTCTTTCAAGAGCTTTGTTATTAAAACATGAGCCCTTGTTGAAATTCTTAAGCAAAGCGACAGCTTCAGAGATCACATAGTCAACCACAGGGAACAAGGCAACAGATTCAAAAGTGGAAGTATCCAGTTCTCCGGGTCCTCGGGTCACTGCCCAGTGAGGGGCGGAGCGAAGGTTCAGCCGTACCTCCTCGTCGCTTCCCGCTTACAGTTCTCAACGAGGTCCGATGGCGGAGTATAATTAGCCGTGGTGCAAGTACGTGCCTCAGTGAGCACCTTCGCTCTTCTAAGGTTCTAGTCCTGAAACCTTAGCTATGTCTGGCCGCGGGAAAGGGGGCAAAGGCCTAGGTAAAGGCGGCGCCAAGCGCCACCGCAAGGTGCTGCGCGACAACATCCAGGGCATCACCAAGCCCGCCATCCGCCGCCTGGCCCGCCGTGGCGGCGTCAAGCGCATCTCCGGGCTCATCTACGAGGAGACCCGCGGCGTGCTCAAGGTGTTCCTGGAGAACGTGATCCGCGACGCCGTCACCTACACGGAGCACGCCAAGCGCAAGACGGTCACGGCCATGGACGTGGTCTACGCGCTCAAGCGCCAGGGCCGCACCCTCTACGGCTTCGGCGGCTGAGGGTTCTGCTCTCTTAGACCCTTGTCCTCTTTACCAAAGGCCCTTTTTAGGGCCGCCCACTAACTCGTGAAGAGAGCTGCAGTATTTGCTTCCTTTCTCTGTCGTTGTGTATCGGAGTGTCCTTGTTTTGCCTACTTGGAGTTGGAGTCAGTCTTTGGGAAGTAGGAAGATAAAGTTCCAATGACATTCCCACTGCTTTGTAGAACAGACCCTCTACCTCACTTTGCTGATGGAGAATCCGCATTCTCTGAACTGCGTGCTATGGCGGAGGCTCTGTTTTGGGAGTGCAGAGAACACTTGCCTCCACCCTCCCCTCCCCC